TGTGAGTTCTGATACTGGCTCTTCGGCTGGCAGAGGGCTGTTGCCAGGGTTACAATGGAACCACCTGCCCGCAGTTTTCCTTTGTCAGCATTTCTATTTAAGCTCCTGTGTGTTCCAAATAAATGCAGAGCTTGATGCCTGCGCCAGTTTTATCCTTGTATCTGCTTTGACCAATGGGAAATGGAAGGGTGAGAATGTTGACGTGGTAACTTCGAGGGCCGGTGGGCCTGCTAAACTTCACCTCCTCTGGCCGCGCATGGTAGAACACATCTCTGATTCCAGCACTCAGCGGGTGGAGACGAGTGTGCCAGCGTCATCCTCAGACACATAATTAGTTTGAGGCCAGCCTAGGCTACATGAAACCCTGTCTCAAACACAAGACGAAACGAAAGCCAGCAATTTTGTTTGAGAAGCTCAGAGAGTTACTTGTAAGAGTGCTAACAGTCATACTCTTTTTTTTAAAGATTTATTTATTTATTTATTACATGTACAGCATTCTGTCTGCATATACCTGTAGGCCAGAAGAGAGCACCAGATCTCATTACAGATGGTTGTGAGCCACCATGTGGTTGCTGGGAATTGAACTCAGGACCTCTGGAAGGGCAGCAGTCAGTGCTGTTAACCTCTGAGCCATCTCTCCAGCCCCAACAGTCATACTCTTTATCTATGACAAAGTACTTGCTTGCTCACTCTTCTCTTGCTGTAAGGAGACACCATGAACAAGGTCTTATAAGAGAAAGCATTTGAGCTGGGCGTTGGTGGCACACGCCTTTAATCCCAGCACTTGGGAGGCAGAGGCAGTCGGATCTCTGTGAGTTCGAAGCCAGCCTGGTCTACAGAGCGAGTTCCAGGGATGGAGGAGTGGGAGATGGTATAGGGAGAGAGAGAGAGAGCAGTGGCTGAGAGCTCACATCCTGATCTGCAGGCAGGAAGGGAGGGGGAGGGAGAGAGGGAGGGAGAGAGAAAGACTGGTCCTGGTCCTGGCTGGCACAAACCTCAAAGTCCACCCTCAGTGACACACCTCGTCCAACAAGGCCACGCCTCCTAATCCTTTCCAAAACACTGGAGCCTATGGGGCCATTCTCGTTCAAACACCACAGCCCTGGACAAGGCTTGAAAGCTCAGACAGCAGAATTCTAAGCTGAGGTGAGAGTAAATAAGGGACACCCACATAGCTGGAGACGTGACTGAACACAGCAGAGGAGAATGCATACAAACCATGCTATGAAGCTCGGAGACCAAGCAAAGTGGCAGAAAAGAAGGGGTCCTGGGTAGCCAACTTATTTTTTAAAGTAGGGAAGGAAGGACGAGGGCTGGCCAGACGGCTCAGCGGGTGAAGATGCTTGCTGCTTAGCCTGGCAGCATGAGTTCAAACCCCAGGTCTCACATGATAGAAGGAAAGAATGCCCTGCATTGTCCTCTGACTTCCACATGTGCCACGGCATGTGCAACCCCATAATAAATGTAACCAAGTGATAAATGGAATAAAGAGTTTTACAGTAGGGGATAAACCGCCAAATGTCAAATGCATACAGGTCAGGAGTTTGTAGGTTAGGGGAACCAGAACAGACTTCAGAGATAACAAGTGTGCTAGCTTTGGGTGTGTGCTTACTTACTTATTTGTTTGTTTATCACTTTCCAATCCCAAATTTCCTCACTCCGGGTGTTTTAGGCTTCATAACTCTTATGAATGCTACGTTTATTAATTTGCATACGTAGCCGTGTGTAAAATAGCTGAACAATTGAAATGCCGCAAGCATGCCATTGAAGACCATGTGTGAATGCTTGTTAGAATTACAGCCTTTGGAGGCACTTGGCAGCCCTGCTCACCACCAGCAAATGGGCTCCTGGAGTTCTGGAGCCACCACTGCTCATGCTGTCGCTGTGGGCGCTGTGCAAACTGTGCCGCAGAAGCCAGCCGCATTTCTCACAGGTGCGGCTCTCTGGTTCCCAGGCAGCCCCCCCCCCCCAAGCCTGATGTTGGAACTTTGGATGCTGGTTGCCAGAGGGAAGGCTTCCTTACTCACTCTGGACCAGAGAAGTCTAGGCAGCCTCCTCAAACTCACCCGGCTACAAGGGGACAAGCTACTATTTTTCTTTAAATCTAGTCTAATTTTATCTTATTGAGACAAGGTCTGAGACTTTGAAACCCTGGTTGTCCTGGAATGCACAGAGACCCACTTTGTCTCTATTGAGATTTTTTCTTTTCTTTTTTTTGGTTTTTTACGAGACAGGGTTTCTCTGTATTGTTTTGGAGGCTATCGGTCCAGCCCGATACTCACAGAGATCCTCCTGCCTCTGCCTCCCGAGTGCTGGGATTAAAGGCGTGCGCCACCACCGCCCGGCTGTCTCTATTACGATTAAAGAGTAAGTGGCGGTGGTGTGTCCCAGGCCTTTAATCCTAGCACTCGGGAGGCAGAGGCAGGAGGATCTCTGATTCAGGAAAGCTGGGGATAAAGAGAAAACCCTGTCTCAAAAGCCAGGAGGAGGAGGAGGAGGAGGAGGAGGAATATTACTATTAATATTGAAGGTATTCACCACACCTGATTGTTTCTTTAAAATAATTTATTTTATTTTTATTTGTACGTACATGTCTGTATAAGTGTGTGCCACGTGTGTATGGGAGGAGGGGTTCCTCTGAGACCAGCTAGAGTTCTGGGCAGTTCTGAGCTGCCCTTTGTGGGTGCTGGGGGAACTGGGGTCCTCACAAGAGCAGCGATTGCCCTTAACCACTGAGCCACCTCACCGGCTCCTGCCATCTTTTTTCTCACCCCAAGTCCAAGACACTGGAGGTAAAGAGGGAAAAACAGAGTGACTGCCGTTCTGGTGTGGCTCCTACCCCAGCACCCTCCAGGTAGCAAAGTGGGAAGGAGGCATGAGGGACTTCCTGCAGGCAGGCAGAAGCCCTGCTCCTCTGGTGCAGGCTACCCGAACATGGCCAGTGGCTGCTGGGGACAGTCAGGCTGCTCTGGCTTGACCATTGTAGCCTCCTTGTTCCTCTCTGAGGGCCACTGAGGGTGGGTGGGAGGAAGGACAGGCCAAGCAAGAAATCTTTGGAGGTTAAAGAGAGACACCCGTGTTTATCCTCAGTGTCAGGGGACATGAGGTCAGGCACTCGGGCAGCAGCTGGCGTTTCTGAATCCATGGCCAGATGTGTTTCTTCCCCTTGCTGATATGAAGTTAGATGTTTGATTTGAAGAGTCACATCGCCTAACCTGGAAATGCCATGTTCCCTAGACTCCATTTCTCCAGCTGGTGGGATTAATTTATACAAGGCACTTGGGCCCATTTTTATCTTAGACTGTGAGTCCTTAATTTGAACTAAGAAATGAGTGGATAGAGACTCCCGGGACTAGCCTTAAACTTTTGGTGGTCTCCCTGCCACAGGCTCCCAAATGCAGGGTTTGCAGACATGAATCACTCTGCCGGCCTCAGCTCAGTGTTCTTGAATCTTTAATCTCTGTTTTCCTTGAGTGTATCCCATGACCTTTTTTTCCAGGGAATGAAGAATATCTTGTTATCTTTTACTTCCAACTTGGTTCCTAGAATAGAAACAGCTGTGCCCAGATGTTTACAAGATAGGTGGGTTTTTAAGAGGCCTGGTCAGAGCAGAGAGAGTCCAAAACCTGGACTCCCTTCTCCTTGCTGATAGATAGTATGCAGGTTACCACCTATAAAACGGGCCTGTGTGCACCCTGTGACACTGAGACTTCTTGTGCATTTGTGCATGCTGGGTTCCTACGTGAGAACATGGCATTCATCCCTCGGTGAATTCATTTGTTTACTTGTGTGTTTTACCAGTTGCAAAAGGGTGACTGCCATGTGCCAGGCACCATTCTAGATACTGAGATAAATAGGGTGCTTATTTTTGTGGGGTCTGAAGTCTTTTTTTATAAGTTAGGGAGTGGTTTTCTTTTATTTATTGTGTGTGCAGGGGGTTCTTTTTTGTTTGTTTGTTTTTTTGAGGTAGGATTTCTCTGTGTAGTCCTGGTTATCCTGGAACTCGATCGGTAGGCCAGGCTGGCCTTGAACTCAGAGATCTGCCTCCCTCTGCCTCTTGAGTGCTAGGATTAAAGGCAGGCAACCCTGCTGCCTGGCTTATTTTTAATGCTTACTTAATAATAAAAGGTAAATAATAATATTATTGTTGTGTGTGTGTACCATAGCACACATGTGCTCAGAGAACAACTTTTGGGAGTTGGTTCTTTTTGTCCAACTCAGGTCCTCGAGTTTGCATGAGAAACATTTTTACCTGTGAGCTATCTTGCTGTCTCTGTGGTAAAGTCTTTCAGTAAAGACAGATTTAGACTTGGTTGTGTGACTCTGTGTAATGGTGACATAGTGGGGAAGTTGGCACAAATATAGGCTTAACTCCAGCTGTGAATAGGGAGTTCCACTTAGAAAAGGGTGTTGAGGCTGAGACCTGAAACACACATGATGTTCTGTTGTAGGGATGGCATGGTGCAAGGAAAGGGAAGCATCTCCCAGCAGAGCATAGCAGAGAGAGGGAGGCTCTGGACCTTCCCAGGGGCTAGGAGTAGGTGGACGGTGCCCTGGGCCTATGGAGCATCCGGATCTTCATTCTGTGGCCAGGGTCAGGTCCTTGTTTGTTTTCTTTCTTTTTTGAGGCAAGATCTCACAATGTGGCTCTGGCAGACTCAGAACTTGCTATGTAGACCAATTTGACCTCAGCCTTGAACTCATAGATCCGCCTGCTTCTGCCTCTCAAGTGCTGGGATCAAAGGCGTGCGCCACCACACTCTTCTCCTTAAAGTTTTCCAATCAAGGGAGTTGGGTTGCTGGATCATGGCTTGAGAAGGTGCACTCTAGCAGACAGCTGGGTGGTCTGGGAGGCTTCTGGAGGCCAGGCAGATGTGATGTAGGCTGGACCAAGGGAGGACTCCAGAGGTGTCACCATGGAGGCCTTTGACTTCTCCAAATCACAAGCAAAGTCCCATTTTCAGGTTGCTGTGGCTCACTCTGTGTATTTTCTTCCCCAGAGGTGGCAAATGATACGGTGACTAGCCTGCCCGGAGCCACCGTCACCCTGATCTGTCCTGGGAAGGAAGCAGAAGGCGATGTCACCATTCAGTGGATGTACTCTGGCTCACAACACAGACGGTGGACTACCAGGGGGAATACACTGCTTCTGAGGACTGTGCAGCTCAACGACACTGGGAACTATTTATGCTTCCTGGATAATCACCTGCTTGGGACTGTGCCCTTGCTGGTGGATGGTGAGTTGTGTCCTCACTGTCCTTGGAATTGACTCCTACGGCAGCTCCTATGTCCTTAAACATGTCCCTGCATTCCAGAGAGGTCCCCCAGTTTATCCTTTAAGTTTGTTGGGTTTTGGCTCAAGAGTTTTGGGAAAGGGCCACTGCTAAGGACATGTGGCTGATGGTGGAAGCCGTCTAACCGAGAGGCAGATTTGACAGGGCTGAACCTACAGCCAGGCATCTGGGCTTAACTCCTGATACATCCCTCCGATTCCTCTGACAGAATGAAGTGCACTTGGTCGTGTTAGTGTAGAGTGTGCAAAGATTTAAGTGTTTGAGCATGAAAATTCTGCCCGGCACACGCGGAACTCTCAGATGGAACACCCCGAGGATTAGCGGGTTAAGGGTTCCCTGGGCTCCAAGGAAGACTGTGGGGTTCATGCCCTGAGTGCAAGCCCTGCTCTCAGCCGCGTTTTCCTTGTATCTCATGCTGTCCTTCCATTTTCCCTGTTATGTCCAAATCAGTTCATTTCAAGTGAGGAAACTGAAGAGAGACGGACTGCATCTGTGAGGCCGAGGGTGCTGGCTTTGTATCATCTTCTCAACCCTTTAGAGCTGCAGTGCTCAACCTTCCTAACGCTGTGACCCTTCAATACACGACCCTCGTGTCGTGGTGACCCAACCATAAGATCATTTCATTGCTACTTCATAACTGTAGTTTTGCTACTGTTACAAAATGTAATGCACATACTTTTGGAGGTAGAGGATTGTCAAAGGGGTCACACCCATTGCTTTAGACTAGAAAACCCAAAAGGTGTTGATGCCTCTCTTCCCTTGTTGGGGATCTGCTGGCCAGCGCGTGCCTGGGGAGTTGTGTCATTCCACCCACGGCTCCATGCTGAGCCAAGTAGTCCCTCAGTCTCCTCTGGGGGGGGGGGAAGAATGATGTATGTAGCACAGGTGCCCGGGAAGCTGTGCACCCCTTCATCCCAAGCTCTCTTTCAGTTCCTCCAGAGGAGCCTAAACTCTCCTGCTTCCGGAAGAACCCCCTTGTAAGTGCTACTTGTGAGTGGCGTCCGAGCAGCACCCCCTCTCCAACGACCAGGGCTGTGCTGTTTGGAAAGAAAATGTAAGTGATGGGCGGGTCTGAATGTTCAGGGTTAGTTGGTGCTCACTGGGGCCCCAGAGTTGGGGCAACAGGGTTGGAAGGCTGCAAGCAACTGTTGGACTGACTGGACAGGGGCCATTTTCTTCTTTTTTATGTTTATTTTACTTTGTGCATATAAATGTTTTGCCTATGTGCATGTATGTGTACCACACGCATGCCTATCAGATCCCTTGGAACTGGGGTTATGGGTGGTTGTGAGCCACGTGGGTGCTGGGAGTTGAATCCAGGGTCCTCTGCAAGAGCAACACGTTCCTTTAAACACAGAGCTCCAACCCCAGTACCAATGTTTTATCAGTAGAAAGTATTCCAAATCTGTCACATTGGGGTTAAAAAATAAATAAGTAAAAAGAATTCCTCTAGAAAAAGGACTGAGCCCCATGCTGGACACGGTGGTAATGCAGTTCAGCTAAGTGCTGCATGCTGGGGCTCAATGAGTTTGATTAGTTTGCTTAAGGTCATCTAACTAGGAAGTGGTTCTAGGTGGTCAGGAAGAGAACACAATCCCAGGATGGGCTGCCCATTTTCCATCAAAGGGTTTGGGGTGTTTCCCTAAAGAAAGTGGTCAGAGTATGGTGGTCCTCTTTGTTGGTTCTTTCTGTGGGTTCAGTTTCCAACAGTCAGCCACGGCCCCAGAATATTAGGTGGAGAATTCCAGAAGCAAACAATTATGTGCTTTAAGTTGTGCCATTCTAAGTATGCTTATGAAGTCCCACGCTGTCCAGCCCAGACTCCCTGTGCTGTTGCACAGAACTCTTAGTCATCTGTTGGTCGTGCTCTCAAGCCTGGCCCCAGCAAGAGCAGCAGGAACGGAAACCCTGAAGGCTCGGGCTCCCCCAGCAGTGTGGCAGGACATTAGAAGCACACGGTGTGCCAGGGCATGGCCCGGTTCTCTGCCGTCTCAGGTCTCTTTCCGAAGGGTCTGGGAAACACCCCCAGCACACGTGGGAGAACTCCCATATTGCAAAGCCAGTGTGGTGGTCAGCAAGGGTTGAGCCCAAGGTTCAACCTGAGTCTGAGGTTGGTTACTTGTTTTCCAGTGGCGGGGAAAGGGGAAGTGGGAAGGGTCTCAGGCTTCCAGGTCAGGTGGGATGGTATCTGATCTCCCTTGACCTTCAGAACTCTTTCCTATTCTGCCCCCTCCTTTCTATCCCTCCTTTGGTAATGTGTGAGCATTTCCAAGGCGTGCTCTACCACCTGAGGGCAGATCTTTTGAGCACTGGGACAGGGAAGGACTTTTCTTATTCATTTCTGCATCCTTTATAGTGTAAAGGACAAGACCCAGAAAGGAATTCAGAGGTCATGACACACTGACAAGAGACAAGAGGGACCTTCTCCTCTGCTCCTCCTGCATAGGCTGGACGCTGCCAAAGACCCTATCAGACAGACAGGCATTAATGCCTTTAGCAGTAGACCCTATCAAATAGGTGTTAATGGCATTAGCATCCCCATTTTCTAGGAAGAAAAACAAGCACTTGGGGTTGAAAAGCTTGCACAGAAAGTAATAGAACTGGACATCGGCTGAGTTGAAGCCCAGAAGCTAGACATCCGTTTCCAAGCTTTCAATCCCTGGGCCAGACTTAATTCTCTTGAAAAAGAACAGAAATTGCTAGCACGTTTGTGTTAGGAATATTGTCCGAGGAGGACTTTGACAGATTCCATGGTGGGCGAGCGACAAACATGCCAGGCAGACAGAGCTTAAGTGAGAAGCTTTATTAGAAAGGGAAGGGAGAAGGGGAAGAGAAGAGAGAGGAGGGGAGAGAGAGAAGAGGGAAGTAGGAAAAATCCTATCTGACCCCTAAGAGGAACAGCGGGAAAGAGAACAGAAGTGGGTGGAGTTTTTCTTTTAAGGGGTCCTTTGCATCTGCATGCAGACTACGGAGTGACATAGCAGCCATAGGACCCTGGGCTGACCACGGTACTGCCTGACCAGGGCCAGACCAGCATAATGGCCGGGTCCTTACAGTCTGTGCCCTCCTTCTGTTGTGTCGCCCAGCAACAAAGCCAACATGAAGAATAACTTCCAGTTGCCCTGCCAGTATTCTCAGAAGCTCAAAGGCTTCTTCTGCCAGGTGGAAATCCAAGAGGGCGACAGAGTTTACCACGTAGTGTCACTGTGCGTCTCAAACAGTGTGGGAAGCAAGTCCAGCAGCAACGTTGCGTTTCACAGCTTAACCATGGGTAAGTAAGCAAGTCCCAGCCCCCAGCTGCTTCCGTCTCTTGCCGGTATGGTCCCGATTTACTCCCGGGAGAGGCAGGAAGTTGTGCAGGGGGCTTGGGAGTTGGGTCTTTCGAGGCATTGTTGACAAGTGGATGGGGGTCTTCTCAAGATGAACATGGGGTACTGAGGGGTGTCCAGCGACTGAGTCCTCGCCTACTAGCTGCAAGGCCCGGAGTTCCATTCCTACTAACTAAATAAGATTTAAACATTTCTGGGAAGTGGTGTCTACCCGGGGGTGGGTGTCTGCAGAGCCTTGGTGCTGCATAGAAGCCCTGTTTCCTCTCCACAGTGCAGCCTGACCCACCTATGAATCTTGTGGTGTCGGCCATACCTGGAAAGCCTCGCTGGCTCAATGTCAGCTGGCAAGACCCTGAGTCCTGGGACTCAAGTTACTACATGTTGAAGTTTGAGCTTCGATACAGACCTGTGTGGTCAAAGTCATTCACAGTGTGGCTGGTAAGCCATTTCCTTTGTTTTTTTTTTTTTTTCCAGTGGGTGGAGACAACGTTTCACCCAGTAGTATCCTTGAACTCATGACAATGCTCCTAAGGGCTGTAATTACTAAAGTGAGCCTCCATGCCCAGATCAAAACTTTTTCTAAATAGAAAAATGCCACCTAGATCGTTGGGGGAAGCAGACACTAGAAAAGAAGTGAGTTCTGGTCCAGCATTGTATCTTTCCATCCTTCATAGTCTTGGGTGGGCCATTTGATTTTAGAGGTCTTGGCTGTGTCTTTATAAAATGAGACAGGCCAGACACTTTCTGACCGGCCTGCTTGTGAGCATCACAGCATAAGACCAGTGCTCGGCTCTGTGTAAAGCAAGAGCCACAGCTTGTGGGCTTCCGTAACCCAGTGTCTTATCCCGTGTGGCTGAGAACAACTCCATCTCTCTCAGCCACCTGGGTGGTGTGAGCCTGTCTGTCAATTGGAGAGCAGGGTGGTCAAGGGCGCCCTCTCCCTGTAGGACGGCACTAACCGCATCTCTGTTCTCAGCTCCCGGTGGCCCAGCATCACTGCGTCATCCGTGACGCCTTGCGAGGCGTGAAGCACGTGGTGCAGCTCCGTGGAAAGGAGGAGTTTGGGACTGGCCAGTGGAGCGAGTGGTCCCCGGAGGTCACGGGCACTCCTTGGATAGGTACCTGGGTCTGTGTGGAGGGGGTTGGGACACATCTAAGCTTATGAGTATATCAGCAGTCTAGTACTGTGTGGCAAGCCATGCTAAACCAACACCCCCCTCTTCTTGTCATTTCTTTTCTTTTTTTTTTTTTTTCTTTCTTTTGGTTTTTCGAGACAGGGTTTCTCTGTGGCTTTGGAGGCTGTCCTGGAACTCGCTCTGTAGACTAGGCTGGCCTCACAGAGATCCACCTGCCTCTGCCTCCCGAGTGCTGGGATTAAAGGCATGCGCCACCAACGCCCGGCTCTTCTTGTCATTTCATTGAAAGAGTGCTTCATTTATTCCAGGTAGGCCTAGGACATACTATACCGTCAAGGAAACCTTGAATTTCTGATTCTCTGGCCTCCATCTCCCAAGCACTGGGTCACTCCGTGGGCCACAATTTCTCACTCTATTTGCCCAAGTCTGGCAACTTGTCTTGACCTGGAGGGTCAAGATCCAGCTGCACTCCTGTGATTGGTGGAGCTCACTGGAGTCTGGGCCCTTTCCTCCTTCCACTTCTTCCTTCCTTCTAGAAGGTGAGCCTCGATCGAGGGCAGCAGGGATGGAGGAGAGGGCAGAAGGACGGGGGAATCTCCAAAGAATTATAGGTGAGGTTAATTGACTGAGGCTATTTATCTGGAGGAAATGACAAGGTGGCAATGTTTGGGGGGAATTATTGAAATCTCCCAAAGCATGCATGTGAGTCACCTCTCACTGCTAATGACAAAAGTCTGAACAAGTCAGCTTAAGGGGAGAAAGATTCTTTTGACTCAGGGTTTCAGAGGACTGGGCTGGTTCCATTACTTTGAGGCTGAGGTGGGGCAGATCGAGCTGCCAGCCTCTGGGCATGGCAGCAGGAAGCAGGAGAAACAGACTAGAACAAGACATCCTCTCCAAGAGTGTACCCGGAAACCTGCTTCCTCCAACTAAGCCTCACCTCCCAGTATATCAAATTGTGATTCCAAGCCAGGTGTGATGGCGCACGCCCTTAATCCCAGCACCTGGGAGGCACAGACAGGTGGATCTCTGAGTTTGAAGCCAGCCTGGTGTACAGAGAGTTCTAGGACAGCTGGAGCTACATAGTGAGACCCTGTCTTCAACAATAATAATTTGAAGAGAGGTTAAGTCAGAGGCGAAGCCTACAGCATGCAGGTGTCTGGTATATTTCATATCCAGACCTAAAAACATGCTTCTGATAAAATGAATTCCAGGAAGATAATGAAGACGGTAAGTTCAGCAGTTTGTTTTGCTTCAGGACTCAATAGGTAACCCAGGGTAGTTTCAAACGCAGACTTAGCCTCCCGGTTTGAGAAATCACAGGCGTGTGCCACCAATCCCGTCTTCTGAGCTTTCCATCAATTCATACATGCCCATGGGAAAGAAGTACAAACAGATTCATGACTCTGTCCATCAGGTGGTGCTCACCTTCCTGGACTAGCTCCATTTGGGGTGCTTCTACTTCTGCTAATGTCCTTCTCTTTTTCACTCCCTGATAAAACCCATTTGAGATGTTATCTTCTGGTGCCTTGCTGTGCAGGGTTAGGATTTAGAAGGCAGGAATCTCCCTTACCATAACGAGGGGGGGGGGGCAGAGGGAAAGGAGAGGAGGAGAGAGAGACAGTCTACTCTTACGTGGATGCTTCCAGTCTCCCTGGTGATGCGGACCCCATCACCCCTGGTAGCAGGGCATCTCACGGTCCTCAGCATTAACTCCAGAACGGCATCCAGGCTCACTCTGAGTCACGTCTTCCCTGTCTTGTTGCATGCTTGACCCACACTAGGCATGCTCACATTTTAGCCGGAAAACTTGTATCCTCGATGTCGCTGATCAGCAATTTCCATCCATGGCCCTCACCCTACTACCATTGCCAACACTCCCTTACCCCCTACCCCACCTTGCTGGAAAAGAGTTAGGTCCAGTCTCTAACCTACGAAAGACTGGTTGGGATACTTCACCAGTTGCCACGGCTCCTTTTGAACAAAGCTGCCTTTTTTCCTTCCCTCAAGACAGGGAATTTGTCCTGGAATTCGCTCTGTAGACCAGGCTGGCCTCGAACTCAGAGATATCCACCTGCCTCTGCCTCCCCAGTGCTGGGATTAAAGATGTGTGCCACCACAGCCCAGCCCTGACACATCTCTTATGAGTGTGGGGCACAATGTAGTCTTAGTCATGTTGTGAGGTTAGTAGCTTATGACACTGTGCAAAGGACATCCCCGTACAGGCCCACAGTTGTTTCTCCTTCTGTCTCCACAGCTTCCTTTGAGACAGTCTCATGTGACCCAGGTTAATCTTGAACTCACTTGTAGCTCAGGATGAATGGTGTTGGACTTCTTACTCTCTTGCTTCTATGTCCGAAGTGCTGGGATCACAAGTGTGCATCACCATACCTGGTTCATATGGTGCTGGGTATTGAATGCAGGGCCTCACGTATACGAGACAAGGACACTACCAACTATGCTACACTCCCTGCCTAGCCATGAACTGCTTTAAGAATTCCTGTTTGGGCTGGGTGTCTTGACGAATGCATTTAATCCCAGCATTTGGGAGGTGGAGGCAGGTGGATCTCCATGAGTTTGAGGCCAGTCTGGTCTACAGAATAGCCAAGGCTACACAGAGAAACCATGTCGGGAACAAAAAAAAAAAAAAAGAATTTTTGTTTGGGGGCTGGAGAGGTTATTCAGTGGTTAGGAGCTTTTGATTTTCTAGAGAAGCCCGGTTTGCGTCCCAATACCCACATCTGGTGGCTAATAACCACCTGAACACCAGCGCCCTCTTCTGGCTTCTGTACATCATGAACACACACACACACACACACACACACACACACACACACACGCACGCACGCACGCACGCACGCACGCACGCACGCACACATTTTTCAGTAACACTGACCTCTCTTGCTTTCTTTGCTGTACTAGGAGACCCAGTGCTTTTATATCTGCCACTGATTTACATCCCCAGCCCAGTCCATAAACAGCTTCTTCAAAAATATTTTTGGCTAGCAGTGGTGGAGGCAGAAGCATTCTGTGAGTTCAAGGTCAGCCTGATCTACATAATGAGACCCTATTTCAAAGCAAACAACTACAACAAAAAACCGCAATTGTTTTTGATTGTGGTCCAAAGTGCATGACATAAAAGTTACTTTAAAAACTCTTTTGCAGATTTTTGAGGTAGGACCTCATTATGTAGTGTAGGCTGTCCTGAACTCTGGTTTTCATCAGTTCCCAAGTACTAGGATTACAGGCACGCACCACCACCCCTTGTTATTATAGCCGTGTGTGTGTGTGTGTGTGTGTGTGTGTGTGTGTGTGTGTGTGTGTGTGTGTGTGTGTGTACAGGCCAGAGGTCAACCTGCTGTGTTGGGCCTTGTGTACTGTCCCCTCCCCCATTTTTGTTATAAGCGTTCTCACTGACCCAGTGCTTGCTGAGTAGGTTAGGCTGGCTGGGTAGACGGCCCCTGGGATGATCCTGGCCCCATCTCCCTAACCCTCAGAGCTGAGATCACACAGCCATGCCTCACACCTGTCTTGTTTTTATCTAACGTGGATTCTGGGGCATTGAACTCAGGCCCTCAGGCTTGCAAGGCCAGCCCTGATTTTAACTATTGTTAGTGGTGTTGAGAACATCATAATGTCGCCCACCGTTCTCCACCCCCCATCCCCAGAACCTTTGCATCTTGCAAAGTTGGAATCCCACACCCTTAGACAGTCACTCCCTATTCCTCTCCCTCTTCCCTGGCTCCTGGCAATGTGCATTCTAGTTTCTGATTCTGAATTTGACTGGTTTTTTTTTTTTTTTTTTTTTTTTTTGGTTTTTCGAGACAGGGTTTCTCTGTGGCTTTGGAGGCTGTCCTGGAACTCGCTCGGTAGACCAGGCTGGCCTCGAACTCAGAGATCCGCCTGCCTCTGCCTCCCGAGTGCTGGGATTAAAGGTGTGCGCCACCAACGCCCGTGAACGTGACTGTTTTAAACACTTCAAGTAAGGGGGGTTGTGTGGAAACCTTTGTGTCTGACTTTTCTCACTCAGCGCAGTGTCTTCACGGTCCATTCAAGCTGGGGAGTGGGCCAGCATTTCCTTCCTGGTGGAGACGAGAGGGAGCATCTTGTTGTACACAAACATTATGCTATGTTTCTCCGAATTTGACTGTAGACAATTGAGCTGCCTCTGCCCTTTGGTATGTGACTGACACTGCTGGCTGCTCAAATTTAGTTCTTCTGTGTATATACCCACGAGACTGTAGGTGGGACTGCTTACTGTGTCACACGGCGACTCTGGTTTTAGTGTTTGAGGAATGGCCACACAGCTTTCTGTAGTTACTGTTGCGCTTTAGGTTACTTGAGAGTCCACAAAGGTTTCTCCACTGATGTAGACCAGGCTGGCCTCAAACTCACAGAGATCAGAGGTCCACCTACCTCTGCCTCCCAAGAGCTGGGGTTAAAAACAGTCCATTTTCCCCTCAGTTTATTAACTCTCTCTCTCTCTCTCTCTCTCTCTCTCTCTCTCTCTCTCTCTCTCTCTCTCTCTCTCGTGTGTGTGTGTGTGTGTGTGTGTGTGTGTGTGTGTGTGTGTGTGTGTGTTTCCTAGGCCGACCTCAGTCTTCTGGTCTCAGCCGCTCTTGTAGCTAGGACTACAGGTAACTACCCTGTACCTAGTGTCCATTCTTCTTTAGTAGTTGCCATTCTGATTTGTTTTGTTGAGGCAGGGCCTACAAGCACACACCACCACATCCCACCATTTGTCTCCTTTAGAGAAATGTCTGTTCAGGTAGAAAGGTCTTTCTGTGTAAGCCCAGCATTGTCCCGGATGACCTCACTCTGCCCTCGGGAATAACCACAGGAAGCCTCCCTGTACACTCTGATCTCTGAACTCTCCTGGGGTTCCTGGAGGACCTGCATCCGCTTGGGCTGCTCCCACTTTCAGCCCGTTGGCTGCCTGGGTTGGTTTGTGGGTTCCTCACCTGTCTCTCAGCCTTGAGTCT